ATGTGCGGCTGCGCCCCTCAGAGCAGCGCCCGCACATCGAGACTGCTGGCTTGCGGGGCACCTCCCTTAGAATGACGGTTGTTCCTTGTCCGCCTGAGGTCAGGCGTCAGAGAAATCATTCCTAAGGCACCATGCTCTCAAGCGGGAGGCCCAGGGCCTTGGAGATGCCCGCCCCGGAAGTGGAACCCCACCGCTGGCAGGGGGACCCACCTGGACGCTGAGGTTCCAGCCCTCTGGCCGGTTATTCATCCTCCCAGCCCCTGACCTGGGGGTCGCCTTGGCGCGAGGGGTTAGGGGAGAGACCAGGTTGGCAGAGCAGGCAGTGCCACTGTGGGCAGACTGAACTGTGACAAAGAATAGTGACTCTTCCCCAGATGCTTCTGCCCACCAGATGTGGCCCTTGCTCTGGAAACTGAGGGCAGAGGCCACTATGCAAATAGACCCCCACAGGAATCACTGCCAGTCTCAGCCTTTTAACAGAAGAAACCACATTTAATTCGGATCAAGCTTAAAGTCATAAGGATACATAAGCACACTGTGGAATGACACTATATAACAGCTGGTACCCCCATGTATTGTAACGATGAATACCATTTTATCCCTCATAATAAGTGCCGAACCATCCACGTTTGTATGGCTATAGTCAATGAATAAAAAAGATACAATGTGAACCTACACGCACCTTTTTGTTGTTTGAAAAAAGGCATGTTCTTTGGTGAGAAAATGTTAGTTTGGCTTCTTTAGCTTGTAGCTTTGAAGAGTGGGGAGGAAACTTCAGTTGTTGGATCCCATTCCCTCAAGCTGTCATCCCCCTATTCTAAAGCAAGAGGATAGATAGTAGAGTTCTCATATGGCCCCTACAGTCCTGGCCTAGCTGAAATAGGAGAGAGAGGAAGATGGGGAAGAGGCTCAGAGGCCTTGGTCTGCACTGGAAACTCCAAGCAAGGCTGAGGAGCCTGGCACTCTGTTGTCAAGGATTGAGCATGTCCATTGAAGCCTGGACTGAGTATAGAAGCTACAGGAGAATGTTGTCCCAGGATTTGGAAGTCTTCAGTTCTCTCCCTCAAATCTGGTTCTAAAGTAAGCTTCTCCAATGACTCTCCACTGCTGTAAACTCCGAATAAAAGGGTTGCCCCTCTACCGGGAGGTACACAATTCGATGATAAAGGGAATTCAGTCCTGAAATTGAATACTGTGATGCTCCTCTTCCCAACATTACATTCAAGTTCAATATATTTCTTTCACATGCTTGAGAAGAGAGGCCAAGCATGGGGATACTATGAAATGAAGAAGGTGTGCATTAGGGAGGGCATGGGTGAAAATCAGGAGATAGACACTATATATGCCTGAACCCCTCCAACTGAACCTGGGTCTGTCTGTGACGTGTCTTCCTAGAGGCTCTTGACATTCTCATTGCTCAAACAACAATGTAAGCCACTTTCTTCCCATTAACGAGTCTTGTCTTCAGCCCCAGGTACTGACGAGTCTTCTTCTCTGGTTGCCCATACAACATGTCAGTGACAAACTCAGGTTCCTCTTTGGTCCTGGGTTGGCAGGTCAGGAAACGAATAAGCATTCTTAGTTTATGACACAAATAGGTCATTGCTTCTGCTTCATCGGATGGCTCCTCATAGACAGGCTGCTTCAACTCCTCATAGGCCGACAGAATCACAGCCCGAAACAAGTTGACCAAAATACAGCTTATGATGAGCATAAAAGATGCGAGGAATAGAACACCGAGGACCCTGTTACTAGAGAATTTGGTGTTCTGAAAAGCTGAGACGCAGTAGGAGAAGACTGTCTGTGTGGCATGAATCAAGTTACAGTAGTTCCATTCATGCTGGCCAAATACCAGGTAGCCAAAAGCCATGTACACAAAGAAATAAACTGATACCACAAAGGCCATATGGGTGATGCCAGGAAGAGCAATTTGGATGGCCCTCTGTGCCAGTCGCACATCATAGAAGACTCTGGAATACCTGAGGGT